CCCCAAAACCCCAAAACCCCAAAACCCCAAAACCCCAAAACCCCAAAACCCCAACTTAGCTAGCCAAACTTGAAATTATATTAACAGAGGCGTTCAATCCCATCAAGAGTCATCTCTAAGTTCTCTAGGTTCATGCTGGGCTCAGATGGTACTGAGTTATTCATGTCCTTTATCAAGTCTACTTCTCCATTGAAATCATTATACTCTTCATACATTCTGCTGTTTCATGAAAAGTTATCGTGCATTCCTAAGGAGTCCTTCCTGTTATTAAAGATGTCAAGAATTCCGTTTGTCATATATTTAGACCAATACTTCTTAATAGTGTTCATGATACTTGGGTTAGTAGCAGAGTTTAAAACTGCAGCAGGATTTGTTGGATTTCCTTCCTTTCCAATTCATTCTCCAAGGTCTTGGGGTTCCTTAACCTCCTCACAACTGTCAGAATCAGTGAGGCTTGGGTCCATTGCGTGTCTTCCTGAATGCTTTTTGATACCCCAAAGAGTATATCTATCTACATTTCATCCAGTGTCCTAAACTATTAATTTTCAAAACATTACAGATTTGACCCAGAGGAGGAACTTGGCGATTTGGACTTCAGTGAGGCTATCCCTAATAATAGCGAACATATCATTAGTCTTATGGAGTTCCTGAAAAATTCGATTCTTCAGTCTCAAAAGAGTGTGAATAATACTACAAAAAGGTTAAATCTCAGCCAAAATTACTTAGTAAATTCCTTTCTGCTATTTTTGTGCGAAAATCTTTAGTTCCCTCATTTTGTCCATCTGTTCCTTATTAAGGTCCATGAGGACAAACATTTTCTCCCAGTCGCTGACCTGGTTCCGCTTGATGAATTCATTGAACTGGTACTTGGAGCACCTCATCATCTTCATGAATTCTTCACTGTCAAATTTTACAGTGTCTTCAGATCTGAGGATGACACTCTTGACGAAGTCTGGGAGGAGACGATCTATAAGTGTCTTGAAGCTATCTCTTATGACCTTCTTCTTGCTGTGAGAGAAGGGACCATGGTGGGCTTCGAGATATCCAATACATTCCTTTAATTCATTCTCTTGGTTTTGGATTGTTTCGCTATTATTTTGAAACTCTTTAAGCATTGACTCCATATGGTTCATGATCTCTTCACGAATTCAGTTACGAGCATCTTTCATCTTTGGAACCTTGTATTGGTTCTTCTCTTTCTCCTTGAATGTATATAGTTCACTCCTCAACTATACAAAGATAACTCTCAAAGATCAACTTCAGAATAGACTTTATAAACTGACCAATAATAAATTTGACCTAAGTAACGCTCTCATTTTGTCAGAAACATGAGTTTGAGTCATTTTCCCAAAACACCTACCTGTCCCACTGTAGACCTAAGTTGCTCAATTTCATTCTCTAGGCTCTTAATGTACTCCTTCTTCCTCTGCCTGCTCTCTCTCGCAAGTGTTCTGTTCCTTTCCCTCCTCTTTGGATCTATCGGCTTGGCTGCTTTATCCTAAAATATCTCGAACTTTCCTCCAAAGATTCCCTCCCTACTCAAAAATCCCAAACTCCTTCGACTCTTCAGCACAGCCAAATATCCTTACTTGTTCCTTATTCGTTCTCTTCAGGCCAGACTTGTCCTTGGCTTCTTCCTGGGACTCCTCCTCATTGGGGTCTACCTTCCTTGGCCTTCCTCTTTTCTTCGTGCCTAGAGACCTGAGAGGGGGATTTTACCTGGAGCTTTACGTTTTCTTTTGGCTGGCGTCTTCTGCTATACTTTTGTAAGAGAGGTTTGGAAAATTAGGTCTAGGAGGTTTAAATTGGGGTAATATTTCTTTAGTGGAGCATTCTACCTGCTTTAAGGTAAAAAGGAATTTTCTAATTTTTGGTTTAGTTTTTACAGAAATCTTCGAGCAATAAAACTTTAACATATCTATCAGATACTGAAAACTTGCGAAAGACCTAGCTGCTAATAAAAAGCAATACTTTATGAAGACTTGAAGCCTTCTTATCTAGATCTAATCTTTACTTCTAAACTGAACTTACTGCTCCTTAAATGAAATTTAGGATAACTAAATAATCCTCTTGTTAAAGAATCTCTAAAACTTTAAATACTCTAAAAAATGATATATGTATAATTTAGTTGCTAAGTTATTTAAGGAATCAAGAAGTTCATTTCTAATATCCTCACGCTGGCCCGACCTTTGACATAATTTCCAAAGGTCATTTGACAATTTACTCACTGAGCAGTGCTCATTGACAATTTTATAAACAGGTTATATCTTAAAGAATCTGAAATTAACTAATATAGGTACTAAAACTAGTTATTCAGATATATTTCACCCAGATTCTTACCTTGAGAGCTTCATCTTTTGAAGAGATGTTAGAAGACTCCTGCTCTTTCACGTTAAAACTTGGGGACTTATCAATAAATTGCTCTGTAGTAGTCTTATGGGTAGTAATAGGATTATCTAGAATCCAATCCTGGTCATTTTTAGTCTTCCCTTTAGTCTTTTTATCTAGAAATAGTTTAATTGTTTCATCATTTTCGAAAGGTCTAGGCTCATCTTCCAACTTTTGAGGGCTAGAAGCGTTCATCCTGATTGGTGAAGTTAACATGGGAATGTAACCTTCTTGATCTTGACTATCTCCTTCCATAATACTAATCTTTTATAATAATTTTTTTATAACTTGTTCGCTCATAATATGGGGTTTTGGGGTTTTGGGGTTTTGGGGTTTTGGGG